CCTTCTAAATTCTAATCTACATGATGCAATTCGATGCCTTCGATATATGATATTGCACATAAAGCACTGGGTCAAACTATAATATCAATTTAGATCTAAGTGCAAAAAAAATTTGAGCCAGATTAATGAGTCAAAAACCCTCTGTTTCAAAGAATCACCCTACATTGTTCTCGCACAATCCAAACAGCAAACTATGTAACTAGAGAATTGTACAGTGTATCTGATTGAAAAAGAGTAACCTATGGAGTTTCTTGCTCGTTCTTCTCCATAGGAATCTACACCTCGGAATGAGCAAATAGCTTCACTTTTAATTTTGTTGTTGACGTTCAAAAGTGCCTTTCTGGGCTAATTGAAATAAATGATTTTTGTCTTTCACTTTGACTTTAGGCATAAAAATAATGATTAAGTTTGCAAGAAATAAAATCACTGGTCGTATATCAAAATATATATTTTTTTATTTATTTAATGCAATATAAAAATAAGTACAATCTACATAAATAGAAAATGAATCATCTCTAAGTATGTACGAGCATAACTCCCGAACTACTAAACCAAAATGGATAATTCTTTTTACTAGCGTTTGCAATATTTAGGACAACATTTATATGAAAGAAAAAATCGACGCATTTACGGAAAACCGCAACGAAATGCGATAAGTGGCGACATCTAGTGAGCAAAATTAGAAAGAGTCACGATGTTCAGCAGTCAGGGAATCGACTAAGGAGCGTCTGGCAACATTGAACAATAGCGATTGGTGAAGCTGAGTAGACAGACGACTGAATATAGGTCGTAGATAGCCGCAGTATGCAGGTCGCTTCTAACCTCGCGATGTGTAGTCACTGGGGGAGGACTGTGGGGGGCAGTGGACAGTACGTGGTTGCACGCATGATGTTGATGATGCTGAGAGAGACTAGCTTTTAATAAAGCTAAGCAAATATTTTAATAATTCTGAGTCTACTCCTCTGATGTCTTTTTTTAATCTGCATGTCTGGAACAAAAATGTTACAATTTATTTATGAAATGTTCAAAGGATAACGGGCGGAGTGTAGGTACCCACCGTACTACAGACGTCTGTCCTTAAAAAGTCCTTATATTAACGTAATTTGTTATTACGGGGACTAATCTTAATCCGTTGTGGGGACAATGTTATCCTTACTATAATATTATAAATGGGAAAGTGAGTTTGTTTGTTTGTTTGTTCCGCTTTCACGCCGTAAATACAAAACCGATTGCTTTGAATTTTTGCAGACGTAAAGTTAGAAGTCCAAAAAATTGATATTCTCGAGGGAAAACGAAATTATTGGTATAGATGACGCTGTGTGTATGGGACTATGGGTATATGTCACATAGGCTACTTTATATCCTTTTGTGACGCGAGCGAAGCCGCGGGTAATAGCTAATAGTTACATAAATGATAATTGGGATTTTTTTATGGAATAAGCCGGTAACCGAGCAGACGAATCACCTGATGGTAAGCAATCAGCGTCGCCCATTGACACTTGGAACACCAGAAGCGTTACAAGTGCGTTACCGGACTTTTGGGGATTAGGAGTTTTAGGATTATTGGGGATTCGGGGATTGGGGAGATGGGGAAGGGGGGAGGGTAGCTGGGCCTCCGTTCCGTTCCTCTGTTCAAAGGATAATGGGCGGTATGTATCTACTGTACTACAGACGTCTGTCGTTAGAGAGTCCTTTCAAGACTATAATTTTTTATTATGGAGGCTAGTCTTAATTCGTTGTGGGGACAATGTTATAGTTACATAAATGATAATTGGGATGATTACAAGGTATGAAAATTAAAAATATAATTAGTCCGTAAGTTAGGTAATGAAAAAATATTAGAGACGTATTTTTTTTTATCGTATAATAAAATAACATCATAACATCACGCCTATTATCCCCGAAGGGGTAGGCAGAGGTGCACATTATACCACTGTACAATATAACACCCACTTTTCACTATTTATGTTATGAGTCCCATGTAATAGGGGGTGAGCCTATTGCCATATACCGGGCACAATTCCAGACTCCCTGCTACTACTGAGAGTATTTAAAAACCTAGTAATACTTTGACCGACCCGGGAATCGAACCCGAGACCACTTGCCCGGCAGTCGCACTTGCGACCACTCGGCCAACGAGGCAGTCTTTTAATTCATTAGACACGTATTTTTTATTTTCTTACAGAAACGAAAACTTTCGACGATATATTGATTTGAAATGTCGCGTGACGACACTTCTATGTACCTCTACATTTTATACGTAGACATGACGTTTGAGCTCCCACTCCTAAAATTTGATTCGTTTTATCTAAGTATTATTTTATTATACGACAAATAAAAAAATACGTGTCTAATATTTTTTCATTAGGTACCTAACTGACGGACTAATTACATTTTTAATTTTCATACCCTGTCATCATCCCAATTATATTTTACTAGCTTTTACCCGCGGCTTCGCTAGCGTCACAAAAAGATAAAAAGTAGCATAAATGACTTATACCAATACACACAGCGCCATCTATACCAATAATTTCGTTTTCCCTCGAGAATATCAAATTTTTCCGGGATAAAAAGTACCCTATTATTTAATCCAGACTTCTAACTTTACATCTGCAAATATTCAAAGCAATCGGTTTAGTAGTTACGGCGTGAAAGCGGAACAAACAAACAAACTCACTTTCCGATTTATAATATTAGTGAGGATTAAATGTTATATATATAAATTTCCGATTTCCTTCTTCTCAAATACAGTAGCGAAATAATATTTAGTTATAGTTTTATACATACCAGAAGTTTTGGATCAAATACATATTTGTGTGGACATTGTTGAGGTAGCGGTGTGCCATTGTAGCAGATTATGTAGTGGCTCTCACTTTGAGGGTCCACCACAAACTGGGTGGAGTCTGACGGACATAGCGACTTGCAGAGCACTTGGTATGATGGAAGACATATCTGGAACAAATGGAAATGATATGATATGTATCAGAGACATTGTAGAACATACTTTTTCTAAAAAGAGTAACGAATGGAGTTTCTTGCTCGTTCTTCTCCATTCGAATCTACGTTTTGGAATGAGCACCTAGCTTCACCTAATTTCACTGACGGACTGACTGACAGACTATTATTTATTTTGTATTTGTTGACGTTTCAAAAGTACCAAACTATGGTTTAATTGAAATAAATGCTTTGACTTTGACTTTAGCAAATGCATCTTAGTTTGCCGGTACCTACTACAGGGTTAATAGATTAACTATTTCCAAAACGTTCTGGTACCAGAATATATTTCCAAAATATACCACGAGTCCACGACCAGACTAACCAGACAGTTGGTTTAAAAAAGGAACCTGTACCTACCAAAAAGTCCGTTCAATAAAACCTCCTTTTACCAGATTTAAATCCGAACATTTAATTAATGGAGTTCCATTTTCAAAGTTGGCACTATGCGGTATTTCGTTGCCTCGATAGGATATTAAAAAAAGCGCGAATTTTTTTGCCGGAGCCGGAGCCCCGGTAACCCGTTAGGTTCTCCGGTTTTATTATACAATAGGTTTTTTTTAATGGAGGAAAATCATCAACTGACATTTTTCGAATTTAAACTGTCAAACACCAAGCGGTCACCGGTGACCGCAACATATTGTTCTATGATTGTGTGTATAATGACGGTATTCAACGAGTTAAATTTATGTACAAATCACCACGCTTGCTCAATGAGGGTTGGTGATTTCAAACTTATAATTAAAAATTACTATTATATGATATAGATTTTGTATATATGTATGACTGTATATAATTATTATATAGTTTCTCAGTGGTGTGTAGACAATCTTAGAAAGTACATATAACTTGGTAAAAGTCACGATCTTACTTGCCGTTAGTAGCTTACGAACCCCACTGTCAAGCATGAAAATGCATAAAGTGGGCGTCATAAAACTCCCGGTTTCCTCCGGCCCAGTAGATATCATCATTTTACTGTTATTCCGAATCAGGAAAAGACCTAAAAAGGTTCAATATGAGATGAAAAAAGAGATATTTTACTCGCCTGTTTTTCAACACTAAATGAGAAATTGTCAGGACAATGCAGCAGCGTAGATTTTCCTAAAGAACAAATGTAGTATCTTCTGCAGTCTTTCGGGTCTTCTAAGAAGACCAGGGGAAGGTTCGAGTAGTCTGCACAGATTGCGTCTTTCCAGTTTCTTGGAGTAGACTGGTCTTTTTCGAAGCAGTTCACTTGGGATTTCGGTAAGCATTCCTGTGGACGATTATTTAATTATTATTATTAAAAAAAGTAATTTCTAATCTCTAAAATCTACCTGGAAATCGAACACAACAACCTGTGCTCGACAGTCGCATTTGTAACAAACAACTAATTAATAAAATTCATTTTTAAATGATTCACGCTGTAACTGTAGGACCGGTAGTTGAAATTAGCTTGAATCGATATTCTAAATGTGAAAAAATGTGAGTTTGTGTGTTTATATGTTACATCATAACGGCTGAAGGGACCCGAATGAAATTTGGAACAGAAGTAGATTTAGGCCTGGAGGAACACAAAGACTATTTTTTATCCCTGCGACCGCGGGCAAAACAGCTGGCAGAACCTAATAGTAAATAAAATAAACCCGCAGCGCACCTTGAGGCTAGGTGACGGGCATTAGCGACCCCGCGGGCTACCATCATCGCCAGTGCTCCACGGAGAAGTCACCGTTCCTTACTCTCCGGCTTGCCTTAATTGGCTGGCTGGAGTAAATGATGACGAGGAATAGGTCTCCCACCTTTGGCTTGCCTTCACTGGCCGTCTAGAGTGGAGTCGCGAGAGCAGTGATCCTGCTCGGAGGGTAAGAAACTATTCGTAAGTCGCGAGTGGGCTAGGGATGCAGGAGGCTTCGGCTGGCAGATGATCTGAGTAGAAAGCGGTGGTAGTTTCTTAACCCTTTAGCCACTGACATTGTCGTTGTCCCTCTGTTGCTATATCTAGCAACCATTCCCAGGGTCCGGTCGGTGAGTTGGCGAGTCTCCGCCTGCCATTTTCAAGTGTTTTATTTACATTGTTTCGGCAGATGCCATAGTCATCCATAGTTCCTAATTTACCAGTCCACAGCAACCCATCCATAGCCCTACCTTTGTTTTCCATTATACACAATAGTCCTACACTAACCGGGGACTGTCCTTGGGTGCATTTCCATAGTGCATACAGGGATAGTCGCCGGTTTGTGTGTCCATTAAATTTAGATTAAATTTGTCTAAAGGGCCTCTGCACAGTTGGCTTCGGCCCCTCGTACGTACCCCAAATGACCGGGACCCTGTGGTCCCGTGAATGGTAAAGACATACATCCTTACTAATATTATAAATGGTAAAGTGAGTTTGTTTGTTTGTTCCGCTTTCACGCCATAACTACTAAACCGATTGCTTTGAATTTTTGAAGATGTATAGTTAGAAGTCCGGATGAAATAATAGCGTACTTTTTATCCCGGAAAAATTTGATATTCCCGAGGGAAAACAAAAGTATTGGTTTAGATGGTGCTGTGTGTATTGGTATATGTCACATTGGCTTTTTATCCTTTTGTGACGCGAGCGAAGCCGCGGGTATAAGCTAGTAATAAAATAAATAATAGGTACTCACTTTTTCCGAAGCACTGAATCTGTACTCCGCTGGACATGTTTCGTGGGTTAAATGTCCAAAGGTGCAAACATAGTACTGTCCACAATCAATCGCATCAGCTTCTATCCATATGTCATATCTACTACAATAGGGTACTGGATGTACACGTGGTGTCGTAGTTACTACGGTTTGATTCGAATTGCTACAACCTGCTTGTTCTTTTGGTAGACATGCCTGTAAAAAACATACATAACGAAAATTAACACAAGCATTGTCTCCTGTGTCGTACATACAACTTCATGTTGACGAATCGAAACAGGTATGTAGGAATCGCTGCAATTGGCGTTCCATGCCTACCTCCATGGAAGACAGGCGTGATGTATGTATGCATATACTTCACATACATACATGCATATATCAAACCTAGACCTTTTTGTTGAGGGGAAGGAGGGGAAGAGGTCATGAAATGTCTCCTCCCGCTTTGAATGAGGCGAAAGAGTGCCAGATTCTTACCGACTAAATACCACCCCATTCCTACTCTTATTTCGAGTCGGGTCGCAATAACGTATGCCTCCTTATCCGTAACACCGGCTGATCATAGCTAGATATAAAAATTAATTTTTGGATCACACAGAGAATTATTCTTATCCAAGTATAAACCTTCATAATACCTAGGTTCGATCCACAAAAGTGTTTAGTACTTAAATTACGGTTACATTTCGGTAAGTGTGCGGGGGAATTGCACAATTTGATTCCCCTTAGTCCTTTCTATCATCGTACTACAAAACAATCGGCGAAGCATCACCGGTTCATATTAGATGTCCCACTTACACGCACGAAGCGCTTCGGCACAAGCTTCCTTGTGCGTACTGCTAAGGAGTGGAATTCTTTGCGAAAGTCTGTATTTCCTAAAGGGGTCTGTATAACCTAGGTGTCTTCAAGGCCCGATTGAATAGGTTGCTTATGGGATGACGTGCTCCATCGTAGATCGCATCATCGCTTACCGCCAGGCGAGATAGTGGGCAAACGTCGGCCCATCAATTATAAAAAAAAAATGTTCATAAACGCACCCCTAGTATGAAGTTTTAAAAAAATATTATATATTTCCCAAATACTTACAAAACTAGTAGTGCTAGCCTCTGTCCCTTCAGGGCATTGTTCATGCAATATCTCACCAAACACACAAAGATAGAAGAATTCACAATTATGCGGATCTGGTTTAAACCACATATCTCTGTAGCTACATTTAGGAAGAGGAGCTGGTATTGTCTCTGAAGTGGTAATAGATGTTGTCTCTGGACTGGTGACAGGTGTTGTCTCTGAACTGGTGACAGGTGTTGTCTCTGAACTGGTGACAGCTGTTGTCTCTGAACTGGTGATAGGTGTTGTTTCTGGACTGGTGACAGTTGTCTCTATTGAGGTGGTAGGTGGTGGCTTAATTCTGTTATCAGGTGATAAGTCTTGTTTGGTAGTGGGTGTTATAGTTGTCGTATCGCTGTTGCAATTCGCTTCAGCTGGCGGTTGGCAAAGCTGAAAACGATGTTATTAAATTATTATTATGATAAAAAAATAAATAAAAATAAGCTACATTTTAATGTAGGCATCTAGACATGTTATTATGATAAAGCCCTTAGAAATTTGTTTTTCCTTGAACATCAAGTTCAAAGCCTGTAATAAACATATAGCATACCGTTAAGTAAATAAATACTCAAATAAAAAGTACCAAATATCACTCACCAAAAGAACTGGATTGAATTGGAAATCCAAAGGACATCGCTGGCTTGTTATTTTTCCAAACAAACACAGTAGAAACCGGTCACAACATGAATACTGTGGTTTAAGCCACAAGTCTCTATTTGTACAAAGCGAAGTAGAACGTTTTGTTGTAGTTATTGTTGTTTCTGAACTGGTGACAGCAGGTGTTGTCTCTGACGTGGTGACAGGAGGTGTAGTCTCTGTACTGGTGGCAGGTGTTGTCTCTGACGTGGTGTCAGCAGGTGTTGTCTCTGACGTGGTGACAGCGGGTGTAGTCTCTGAACTGGTGGCAGGTGTTGTCTCTGACGTGGTGCCAGCAGTTGTTGTCTCTGACGTGGTGACAGGAGGTGTAGTCTCTGAACTGGTGGCAGGTGTGGTCTCTGAACTGGTGTCAGCAGGTGTAGTCTCTGACGTGGTGACAGCTGGTGTAGTCTCTGAAGTAGTAGAGGTTATTTCATCGTCATCTCTTCTCGATTTTGTGACATCGGTGGTTTCTGAACTGGTAGCAGGTGTAGACTCTGAGGTGGTGATAGGAATTGTAGTCTCTGAGCTAGTGGCAGTTGTTGTCTCTGAGCTGGTGGCAGGTGTAGTCTCTGAGCTGGTGGCAGGTATAGTCTCTGAGCTGGTGGCAGGTGTTGTCTCTGAGGTAGTGATAGGTGTTGTCTCTGACGTGGTGACGGAAGGTGTAATCTCTGAACTGGTGGCAGGTGTTGTCTCTGAGCTGGTGGCAGGTGTTGTCTCTGAGCTAGTGCTAGGTGTTGTCTCTGACGTGGTGACGGAAGGTGTAATCTCTGAACTGGTGGCAGGTGTTGTCTCTGAGCTGGTGGCAGGTGTAGTCTCTGAGCTGGTGGCAGGTGTTGTCTCTGAGCTGGTGGCAGGTGTAGTCTCTGAGCTGGTGGCAGGTGTTGTCTCTGAGCTGGTGGCAGGTGTAGTCTCTGAGCTGGTGGCAGGTGTAGTCTCTGAGCTGGTGGCAGGTGTAGTCTCTGAGCTGGTGGCAGGTGTAGTCTCTGAGCTGGTGGCAGGTGTAGTCTCTGAGCTGGTGGCAGGTGTAGTCTCTGAGCTGGTGGCAGGTGTAGTCTCTGAGCTGGTGGCAGGTGTAGTCTCTGAGCTGGTGGCAGGTGTAGTCTCTGAGCTGGTGGCAGGTGTAGTCTCTGAGCTGGTGGCAGGTGTAGTCTCTGAGCTGGTGGCAGGTGTAGTCTCTGAGCTGGTGGCAGGTGTAGTCTCTGAGCTGGTGGCAGGTGTAGTCTCTGAGCTGGTGGCAGGTGTAGTCTCTGAGCTGGTGGCAGGTGTAGTCTCTGAGCTGGTGGCAGGTGTAGTCTCTGAGCTGGTGGCAGGTGTAGTCTCTGAGCTGGTGGCAGGTGTAGTCTCTGAGCTGGTGGCAGGTGTAGTCTCTGAGCTGGTGGCAGGTGTAGTCTCTGAGCTGGTGGCAGGTGTAGTCTCTGAGCTGGTGGCAGGTGTAGTCTCTGAGCTGGTGGCAGGTGTAGTCTCTGAGCTGGTGGCAGGTGTAGTCTCTGAGCTGGTGGCAGGTGTAGTCTCTGAGCTGGTGGCAGGTGTAGTCTCTGAGCTGGTGGCAGGTGTAGTCTCTGAGCTGGTGGCAGGTGTAGTCTCTGAGCTGGTGGCAGGTGTAGTCTCTGAGCTGGTGGCAGGTGTAGTCTCTGAGCTGGTGGCAGGTGTAGTCTCTGAGCTGGTGGCAGGTGTAGTCTCTGAGCTGGTGGCAGGTGTAGTCTCTGAGCTGGTGGCAGGTGTAGTCTCTGAGCTGGTGGCAGGTGTAGTCTCTGAGCTGGTGGCAGGTGTAGTCTCTGAGCTGGTGGCAGGTGTAGTCTCTGAGCTGGTGGCAGGTGTAGTCTCTGAGCTGGTGGCAGGTGTAGTCTCTGAGCTGGTGGCAGGTGTAGTCTCTGAGCTGGTGGCAGGTGTAGTCTCTGAGCTGGTGGCAGGTGTAGTCTCTGAGCTGGTGGCAGGTGTAGTCTCTGAGCTGGTGGCAGGTGTAGTCTCTGAGCTGGTGGCAGGTGTAGTCTCTGAGCTGGTGGCAGGTGTAGTCTCTGAGCTGGTGGCAGGTGTAGTCTCTGAGCTGGTGGCAGGTGTAGTCTCTGAGCTGGTGGCAGATGTAGTCTCTGAGCTGGTGGCAGGTGTTGTCTCTGAGCTGGTGGCAGGTGTAGTCTCTGAGCTGGTGGCAGGTGTAGTCTCTGAACTAGTGGCAGATGTAGTCTCTGAGCTGGTGGCAGGTGTTGTCTCTGAGCTGGTGGCAGGTGTAGTCTCTGAGCTGGTGGCAGGTGTAGTCTCTGAGCTGGTGGCAGGTGTAGTCTCTGAGCTGGTGGCAGGTGTAGTCTCTGAGCTGGTGGCAGGTGTAGTCTCTGAGCTGGTGGCAGGTGTAGTCTCTGAGCTGGTGGCAGGTGTAGTCTCTGAGCTGGTGGCAGGTGTAGTCTCTGAGCTGGTGGCAGGTGTAGTCTCTGAGCTGGTGGCAGGTGTAGTCTCTGAGCTGGTGGCAGGTGTAGTCTCTGAGCTGGTGGCAGGTGTAGTCTCTGAGCTGGTGGCAGGTGTAGTCTCTGAGCTGGTGGCAGGTGTAGTCTCTGAGCTGGTGGCAGGTGTTGTCTCTGAGCTGGTGGCAGGTGTAGTCTCTGAGCTGGTGGCAGGTGTAGTCTCTGAGCTGGTGGCAGGTGTAGTCTCTGAGCTAGTGGCGGATGTTGTCTCTGAGGTGGTGACAGCAGGTGTTGTCTCTGAGCTGGTGGCAGGTGTTGTCTCTGAGCTGGTGGCAGGTGTAGTCTCTGAGCTGGTGGCAGGTGTTGTCTCTGAGCTGGTGGCGGGTGTTGTCTCTGACGTGGTGACAGCAGGTGTAGTCTCTGAACTGGTGGCAGGTGTTGTCTCTGAGCTGGTGACAGGTGTAGTCTCTGAGGTAGTGATAGCAGGCGTTGTCCCTGACGTGGTGACAGCAGGTGTTGTCTCTGAGCTGGTGGCGGGTGTTGTCTCTGAGCTGGTGGCAGGTGTTGTCTCTGAGCTGGTAACAGAAGGTGTTGTCTCTGACGTGGTGACAGCTGGTGTAGTCTCTGAGGTAGTAGAGGTTATTTCATCGTCATCTCTTCTCGATTTTGATGTTGTGACATCGGTGGTTTCTGAACTGGTAGCAGGTGTAGTCTGTGAGGTGGTGACTGGTGTAGACTCTGAGGTGGTGATAGGAATTGTAGTATCTGATTTGGTGGCAGGTGTTGTCTCTGTGGTGGTGATAGCCATAGTAGTAGTTGTAAATGCATCTTCACATTGCGCATCAGCTACCGGCATGCATTGCTAAAATAAAAAACTTTATGTAATATGTCAATGGCTATATTTATGTGCATTGCATTCGCCAAACCTGTACAAAGATGTACTGTAGCTAGCGGTGGAAACCTATAATTGGCTTTGTACAGCATATCCTGAATTGTTATTCTTAGTGATATAGCTGTTGGTTACGCAAATTAAAATAGATTAATTATAGATTTTTTTTTATAGAAAAAGTGCATTAATTCTGGATGTTTTATATGGTAATGGCAATAGGCTTGCCGCCTATTACGCACGTATTTTAAGTATTCAGGTTTGTCAGAGAGCTTTGGGCCCGAGATATTCTTTTGCATTTTTCTCCTACTTTACTGACTGCCTCATTGGCCGAGTGATAGCGAGTGTGACTGCCGAGCAAGGGGCCTCGGGTTCGATTCCCGGGTTGAGCTATTACTGGGTTTTTTATATTACTGGGTTTTTTAAAAACTCTCAGTATTAGCACGGAGTCTGGAATTGTGCCCGATATATTCCAATAGGCTCACCTCCTATTACATGGGACTCATAACATAAATAGTTAAAAGTGGGTGTTACACTGTACAGTGGCTTAATGTACACCTCTGCCTACCCCTTCAGGGATAAAAGGGGTGATGTTATGTTATGTCTACTGTTACCAAAGAAAAGTAAACTAACACAATACCAGATAATAAAAAAAAACTTACATAATTAGTAGGACTGAAGTGATAACCCGGTGCGCATACTTCACTTATTAACTGTCCAAACAAGCATAAAAGGAACCGATTACAAAATGGTTCTAGCGGTCGAAGCCATGCGTCTGTCGTTGTACAAGGTGGTAATGGCGTTACTGTTGGCATTGTTTCTTCTGAGGTTTCATCATCTTCATCTCTTCTCGATTCTGGTGTTGTTACTGAAACAGTGACGGTTGTTGTCTCTATACTGATGGCAGTTGTTGTTTCTGAGGAGGTGACAGCAGGTGTAATCTCTGAGCTGGTGACAGCATTTGTGGTCTCTGAATTGGTGACAGGTGTTGACTTTGGATTGGTGACATCAGCTGTTATATCTGAACTGGTAACAACTGTTGTCTCTGAGGTGGTGGTAAGTGTTGTCTCTGAGCTGCTAACAGAAGGTGTTGTCTCTGACGTGGTGACCGCAGGTGTTGTCTCTGACGTGATGACAGCAGGTTTTGGCTCTGAGCTAGTGGCAGATGATGTCTCTGAGCTGGTGACAGATGTAGTCTCTGAGGTGGTGGCAGGTGTTGTCTCTGAGCTCGTGGCAGGTGTTATCTCTGCATTGGTGACAGCAGGTGTAGTCTCTGAGCTGGACACAGCTGTTGTCTCTGAGTTGGTGACGACTGTTGTCTCTGAATTGGTGACACCAGGGGTTGTCTCTGAATTAGTGACAGCAGGTTTAGTATCTGAGTTGGGTACAGGTGTTGTCTCTGAATTGGTGACGACTGTTATCTCTGAATTGGTGACAGCAGGGCTTGTCTCTGAATCGGTGACAGCAGATGTAGTCTCTGAGCTGTGTACAGGTGTTGTCTCTGAAGTGGTGGTGAGTGTTGTCTCGGAGCTGGTAACAGTAGGTGTTGTCTCTAACGTGGTGACAGAAGGTGTAGTCTCTGAGCTGGTGGCAGGTGTAGTCTCTGTACTGGTGGCAGGTGTAGTCTCTGAGCTGGTGGCAGGTGTTGTCTCTGAGTTGGTGACAGATGTAGTCTCTGAGGTGGTGGCAGCGGGTGTTGTCTCTGAATTAGTGATAGCAGGTGTAGTCTCTGAGCTGGACACAGCTGTTGTCTCTGAGTTGGTGACGACTGTTGTCTCTGAATTGGTGACAGCAGGGGTTGTCTCTGAATTAGTGACAGCAGGTGTAGTATCTGAGCTGGGTACAGGTGTTGTCTCTGAATTGGTGACGACTGTTATCTCTGAATTAGTGACAGCAGGGCTTGTCTCTGAATCGGTGACAGCAGATGTAGTCTCTGAGCTGGGTACAGGTGTTGTCTCTGAGCTGGTGGCAGATGTTGTCTCTGAGCTGGTGGCAGGTGTTGTCTCTGAGCTGGTGGCAGATGTAGTCTCTGAGTTGGTGGCAGGTGTAGTCTCTGAGCTGGTGGCAGGTGTTGTCTCTGAACTGGTGGCAGGTGTAGTCTCTGAGCTGGTGGCAGGTGTTGTCTCTGAGCTGGTGGCAGGTGTTGTCTCTGAGCTGGTGGCAGGTGTTGTCTCTGAGCTGGTGACTGGTGTTGTCTCTGAGCTGGTGGCAGGTGTTGTCTCTGAGCTGGTGGCAGGTGTAGTCTCTGAGCTGGTGGCAGCTGTTGTCTCTGAACTGGTGGCAGGTGTTGTCCCTGAGCTGGTGGCAGGTGTAGTCTCTGAGCTGGTGGCAGGTGTAGTCTCTGAGCTGGTGGCAGATGTAGTCTCTGAGCTGGTGGCAGGTGTTGTCTCTGAGCTGGTGGCAGGTGTAGTCTCTGAGCTGGTGGCAGGTGTTGTCTCTGAACTAGATGCAGGTGTCGTCTCTGAAGTGGTGGCTGGTGTTGTTTGTATTCTATCGATGGGTTTTATTGTTGCGATTGAAGTTGTTTCGAAATTATGTTTCTCCTTACATGACGATTCCTCCCGTGGTATACATATCTGAAATCATATTGTTAGGTGGGTTTGTGTATTTGTTTAGTTATTTTCCGTACCTTGAAATTTGTTAAAATGCAGTCAATCTAATAACAATAACGATGGAACAAAACATGCATAAGAGTGACAGTTTTAAATCCCAATATAACAATGCAAATAGGTATTGATTTAGATATGTACTACATTTACAGTATCTGTGTTGTAAACTTTAATTTTATGCAATTGCACACACACAAATTGTTGTTCCGGGTCTGGGTGGGTGTGTATGTGAACTTGTATGTTTGTAAACGCACCCACGACACAGGAGAAAATCCTAGTGTGGGGCAACGCTTTATTAAAAAAAAAAAAAAAAAAAACTTAAAACCACCCCGTTCCTACTTCTACACTTCGAGCCGGAGCCCCGGCAACCCGTTAAGTTCTCCACGGCATTGTATCTAGGTCTGTGACGGCCTTTATTCAGTTATCGAATAAGATCTTAATAAAGTTTTATAAATTGATTTTTCTTTAGGTAGGTACTTACTTCATCAACATCGAAGTCATGCCCGTCAGGACATTGAACTCTAACTATTTTTCCTAGAGCGCACTCGTAGAAGAATGTGCAATCTGTGTCATCTCCTATGGACCATTCGTCTTGTGGTCCGCATTCTGGCAAGGGAGGCGGTGTCGCTATGCAGCCTGATTCTTCTTGGGGGACACATGACTGTAATTGTAAGGAAAATAAATAAATTATCATCAACAGCCTATAAATGCCCACTGCTGAGCAAAGCCTCTTCTCACACGGAGGTTTGAGCATTAATCAACGCGCTTGCTCAATGCGGGATGACGATTTCAAACTTATAATTAGAAATTATAAGCCCAGGTTTCCTCACGATGTTTTCCTTCACCGTTTGTCAGTGGTATCTAGATAATCTTAGAAAGTACATATAACTCGGAAAAAGTCACATTGGTATTTGCCGTTGGTAGGTTTCGAATCCTCATGTATGAGAAGCGGGCGCCTTAAACCTCAGGGCCACCACGACAATCGAAGACAACAAGCACAAAAAATATTTTTATTTAGTTATTTATTTATTTATTTATTACTTCTTCACCAAAGATAACAGTGAATGGCGGACTTAATGCCTTAAGGCATTCTCTGACAGTCAACCATAGGGAAGTGCAGAGAAATGAAGCGGTTGATGCGAAGCCAGAACACAATAAATAAATCTAAATAGACATACATACTATATAATATATGCTACTAAACAAATACTTATACCTACTACATAAATAGTATACGTTAAAGGAAACTTTGTCAAAATAGTTTCCTCAATTGTTTTGAGTCTGCCAATGCTTAAATAAATGTTCGCCGATTTTAAATTTAAAAGAGCTACGATTTGTTAAGGTTGTTTTTGAGGTTACGCTTGTGTACGATGTGGCAATTATAGGCTCACTCCTCAGCTACTACGCACTGGTTGCCTGCCTGATGGTGGGTATCACTGGACGCGGTTGCCATACCGGTTGAAACGCCGCGCCGTTGCGTATTTTAAATTGTAAAAGCGGCCAACCGCGGATTTGGCTAGTCGTGCGGTTGTCCATTATAGCTTATATGTGGATCGTTGTACAGAACCTTAAGATGATTGGTAAGAATTGAGTGTAACTGCGTTGTATGTACAAATTGGGTAGTTTCCAGGGTATCAAAATTAAAAATCTAATTAGTCCGTCATAGAGATAATGAAAAAATATTAGACACGTATTTTTTTAATTTCTCGTATTAACTCGTCGAGTACCGGTTTTGCAGACACAATTATAGAACAATAGGTTGCGGTCACTGGTGACCGCTTGGTGTTTGACAGTTTAAGTAATACTTAGATAAAATGGTGCTATGTTTAGGAGTGGGAGGTTGTTACGTCATAACGTGCTACAAAATGTGACACGCTGTGACGTCACACAACATTTCAAATTAATATATCGTCGAAAGTATTTGTTTTTGTGAGAAAAGTTAAAATATGTGTCTAAAGTTTTAAATAAATGTGCCAGGCGGACATTAGAATAGTGTGTTTGTTTGTTTGTTCCGCTTTCACGCCGTAACCACTTAACCGATTGCTTTGAACTTTTACAGACGTAAAGTTAGAAGTCCGGATTAAATAATAGGGTACTTTTTATCCCGGAAAAATGTGACATTCCCGAGGAAAAACAAAAGTATTGGTATGGATGGCGCTATGTGTATTGGTGTATGTCACATAGGCTACTTTTCATCCTTTTGTGACGCGAGCGAAGCCGTGGGTAAAAGCTAGTCGTATATAAAAATGTCATGAAAAAGGCTTTAACACAAGGGCACAATGCTTGCAATGATTGGATTCTGCTAAGTACTGCTAAGGAGTGGAATTCTTTGCCAAAGTCTGTATTTCCTAAAGGGTATTTTCAAAGCCCGAGTGAATAAATTCCGTGCTCCATCGTAGACCGCAAAACCGCTTACTACCAGGCGAGATAGAGGCTCAACATCGGCCCATCAAATATAAAAAAGGATTCACTTTCTAGTATCAAAATAGATTTTCTTAGTTACCTCGGTCGCTTGACTATATTCAGTGTCATTAGGACATCTCAGTTTCACTAGGTCGCCATACATGCACGTGTAAAAGCCACTACAGTCCCGAATATCAGGTTGGGACCAGTAATCATTGGTACCACACGCTGGCAAGGTATCTGTGTAACTAGATGGTGAGTTGATGGTCGTAGTCTTCGGCTTTTGGCAATAAGCTGAATGTTGAGGTCGACAAATCTGGAGGGGAATTGTGATGTTACCTTGTAGTCAAAATAAGGTAATATTTTTGTGAGACTGCCTCATTGACCGAGTGGTCGCAAGTGCTACTGCCGGGCAAGGGGTTTCGGGTTCGATTTCCGGGTTTTTTTTAATTCTCAGTAGTAGCACGAATTCTGAAATTGTACTCGTTATATGGCAATAGGCTCACTTACACACTACACACTTATAATTATAACATAATAGTGAAAAGTCGGTGAAACATTGTACAGTGACACTCAATGCCGTGATGTGCACCTCTGCCTACCCCTTTGGGGATAAAAAGGCGTGATCCGTCTGCTCTATCCCTTAGAAATCGAGCGTACGGCATGTCGCGTCTCGCGTTCCGCGCGCGCCTCAAAGAGCCATCAGACCACCACGGATGGGGCCCAATAGGGCTGATGCCGATTTGGAGTCGCGGAGTACCTAACGGGTACCGGAGCTCCGGCTCGAAGTGCAGGAGTAGGAGCAGGGTGGTTTTTAGTCAGTAAGAATCTGACACTCCCTCCCGCCTCACCCAGGCGGGAGAAGGCATTCGATGATTTTGCCCCCTTAAAAATATTATAAAAAATATTAACAAACCTTCTCAATGGAATCAAATAAGTAGTATTCCGGACATTGTTTCCGTATTAAACTCCCAAACTCACACGAATAATAGTTTTTACAGTTAGTAGGGTCTGCCTTGAACCCATCCATTTCATTACAAGACGTTTTAGAACGGTCTAGCTTGTTATTGCTTACTGGTCTATCAGATACTTCACAACTGGTTAATGATTGTGGTAGACAAATCTGAAAAATAAGTAACTTGTTATAATTTTTGTGAGACATAAGTACCTACTTAAAGGTTTTTGCTAGCGATTTCACGTGTTTTAAAAGGGCAAACAGTATGCTCATTGGGAGTAGCTGTACCAGGCTACAGTCAGACACGTTTGAATCTTTTTAGTATCTACATTTTCTGAGGAAGATTAACAAACATTCATAAATCCTCATAAATTGTCGTAGGTATAATTGTAATAATACTACTATAGTTAGTTCCGTGCAGGCTCATCCACTATCCAAACAGAAAAAGAATTCTTCAAATTAGACCAGTACATCCGGAGATTACTTTAGAGGTAAATAATCATTATAATAATTATGATCAGCGACAAAGCATTTATTGCTTCACATAGGCGTCTCTCAAAGACAGCCACAGCGGTCGGTTGGAAGCGACCTAGATCCAGAGACTCCCTGCGACCTTAATTAGGTCGTTTGCCCACCACCACGCGCGGTTGCTGCCGCTCTCGTTTACTCCTATTGATCGTAACGTGATGCTTTCTAGCCTTAACCTTTCTCGATAAATGGCTTATCCTTATACAAGAAGAATTATTCAATTCTAACCACTAATTTCGGATATTATCGCAAACAAAAATACATACCGCAGTAGAACTAAAATAAAAGCCAAGTGGACACTTCATGTGCCTTATCGTTGATAAAATGCAAAAATAATAATAACTACAATCTTTAGGATCCGCTTTCCACCATATATGATACCCAGAGCAATCAGGCAAATCAATATCGTTACCATCCCCGAATCTCCTCATGATATCATTATCTAATGACTCCGGACCTTGAGCGTTTCTTGTCGACAAATCGAGGATATGATGAAATATCATTTTCAAGTCATCGTCATCATCGCGTTTATCGCCAGGCTTTTTTGTTAGTTGTGACTTTCGATCGTGATTGTCTGAAGATGGTTTTTTTGTTGGATGTGGTATGCGATGGGGTGATGGAGTGATGTGATCATCATCATTATCGTCAGATCTTTTGGGCTTCCCTGTTGGATGTGGCATATAAAATGATGAAGCTGTGAGTTGGGAGTCAGTGTCTGGTGATGAATATGGTTTATCTCCGCTAATGCCAACTGAAATGCATTCACTGGTCTTACCGGGTATGCATCGCTTGAAAAGAAATTTTTAATGATTAATGAGCTCTCTATTCTACAAAATTCTCGTCTCCAATCTCCCCAATCCATATATCCCCAACAATCCTCAAAAGACCGGTAACGCACTTGTAACACCTCTGGTGTTTCGGGTGTCTAGGGGCGGCGAAGATTGCTTACCATCAGGTGATCCGTCTGCTTGTTTACCGGATTATCCCATATACAAAAAAAAAATATTGATATTTAAAGTGGAGGTACTTGTGGAAAACATTAGATTATACCACTTCCGCGCGGATTCACTCGTTCTGCTCAGTTCCTATTGCTTGTAGCGTGATATTTAATAGTCCGTAGCCTTCCTCGATAAATAGACTATCCAACACATAAAGAATTTTTAAAATCGAATCAGTGGTTACAGAGATTAGCGCATTCAATCAAACAAACTCATCAGCTTTATATCAGAAGTATAAGATTGTATGGTCATCAAGATTAAGAGTGTACCAAATATCAGATCGATCTGTTCTCAGCAAGGAGGTGAGATTCGAATGACTTTTGATTGACACAAACATATTTTCTTTTTTTTAAACGTTGCCCCACACTAGGATTTTCTCCTGTGTCGTGGGTGCGCTTACAAACATACAAGTTCACATACACAATGACATCCAGACCCGAAACAACAATTTGTGGTTCACACAAAGTGTTGTTCCGTGCGGGAATCGAACCCGCAATACGTTGCACGGCAGCCGGTTGCTCAGCCACCGAACCAACCGTGCAGTCATATATATATATAACATATAATATATATATAACATATAATATATATATAACATATAAACGGGGCAAGCTAATTACAACATTATTATAATAATGACAAGGTACAAGTGGTGTGGATTCCACATAAATGTAATGGGAGAGTCATGCTTCGGCAGGAATGGGCCGGCTAATCACGCCCTCATAGGAAACCGGGGTGGAACAACTTGCGCTGTTCTGTCGTTTGAATGAGGTTATGCATATGTGAGCACCATGTTAGACTTAAGATTTTTTTTTTTTTTTATTTTAGTAAGTTATTAGTATAATGCGTCAAGCGTGTCTTTGCATTGTTCTTACATATACGTACAGTATTGAAATATGTATCAGAGACATTGTAGAACATACTTTTTTAAAAGAGTAACGAATGGAGTTTCTTGCTCGTTCTTCTCCATTCGAATCTACGTTTTGGAATGAGCACCTAGCTTCACCTAATTTCACTGACAGACTATTATTTATTTTGTATTTGTTGACGTTTCAAAAGTACCAAACTATGGTTTAATTGAAATAAGTGCTTTGACTTTGACTTTGCTACCAGAGACCCAAGCCCCCTTCCCAAAAGGCTGGCAACGCAGTTGTACCTCCTCGGGTGTTGCGGATGCCTTTTTTAAGAGGGGATAATCATCTAATGACTCTCTCACTTTAGTTAAGACGAGGAGTGGCAGACACATTAAGACTAAAAACTACCAGGTTTCCTACTAGTACTTCGAGCCGGCGCCACGGCAACTCGTTATGTATCGTCCGTAGCTTCCGGTCGGGCATTAGCCCTACTGGTTTCCAGGTGATTTGTGACTCTTTGAGGTTACGGATGTCCTTGGGCGACGTTCATTGTTTACCATCAGGTAATCCATCTTCTCGTCAAAAACACGTGCCACAAAATCGAAAACCTTTTATTAAATATCTCGCCAATAATACGTTAATTAACCTTTCAACTTATTCTTGGAAAAAAAAATAACAAAGAATATGTACATTTTATTTTACCTACTTTTAATTCGTAACCAATTTCGTTATACGCTTTTTGCAATATGAAGGAAAAGTTATAATTGTGCGAGCCCATTGCCAATCTGGAGCCTAAAT